ACAGTTATTCGGATTTCCTCCGTCTTGATATGGTGCTGCGTGGTCTCGGGGCATGGTGTCCGCCTCGAGTGCTAGAGGTTCTGTGTTCAATCCCCAGGGAAGGCTGTAATTTTTTGTTTACGTGGACTTGGATCTAGATACTCCCCCTGATCTCTGGGTAGTGAGATCGGACGCCCGTGTGCATTGTTGCGAGCGTAACAAAATCAATTAGCATGTGGAAATCGAAAAGAGTAGCCTAAAAAGAGTAGCCTAGCTGCGCTGCTCGGGAAAGATTTTGAGTTAAAAATCTACCCAAAGTATTTTGGATTCTCGCCGGTGCTACAGAGCCTGTGCACTGTGCTGGGCTGATTGAGATTCAGACTTGAGTTATAAGAAGAACTAAGCACTTATGGGATACTACCCAAGTGCCATGATGTTGATCCGTTGTTCAGAACCTCAAACCTCAAGTCTTCAAACCGCACACCTTCAAACCTCGTCCGTCTTGATGAGAACACATAGCCAGGTACTTGTGGCATCTGCAGACCGCTTGAATATTTTCAGATTTTAGACGCACTTGCATCAATCTTCCATGCACTTCGTTCCAGTGGCCAAACAGGGAATGAAGTTTGAATCTTTCATCCTGCTTCTGATGTTTTCAGTCCGCATGCATAACCTGAATACAGTTCGCTTCTTTACGTTTCACCTAACAATCATGTTATTCTAGTAACTGTCTTTCCTGGCCTATCCTTTCTAAGCCACGCCTCTTTTCTCCAGTTATGCTTATCTCATTGCGGTAAAACTTAGATCATTACAGTTAGACTCTCCCATTCTTGTTCTGATCTCCAATGCATCACCCACCCCAGTGTCGACTCTTCCCATTAGATACATTGTCTCCTATCTTGACAATGAAAACCGCACTCACCTGCTTCACTCGGCGTTATTCCTCGGTGGTAGTGTAATCGTGTTAGCATCAGAGATTCGTTCTTATCCGCTAGTTAATCAGTATATCGTTTCATATCAGCTCTATTAATATTTTCCCTGCATACAGTGGTACAATATTTACTAGATTATCCCCTCAATATTTTTAGGTTTTTTTTTTTTTTTTTCGCCTTCAGGATTGAGTTTGTATAATTAACATCTCAAAGATGAGAATTAAACACTGGCCAGGCGTGCTTGTAACGGCTAAAATAAACGCTCACACTTTTGTTTGCCAAAGAAAAATGCTTTATTTTCCTGTTTGTTGTTGTAAATCTAGGAAACATCATTCATTAGTACAGCCATAGAGCACACTTGTATTGGGGTATCATCAAATGGTTACGAATTTATCTGTAAATCCAGTGCGGTTGGGTCCGATGCGTGATTGATTGGTGATTGATTGGCACATTTCCGTCTTTCTAGACAATAGTGTTATACTTATACTTAGACAATCTGCGTTCTTTGGCCATGTGATGAGAAGGAGAAAACTGGAGTACATCGTGAGGAAAGTTCGAGGGAAGGAGAGGCAGAGGGAGACCGAGAGAACAGTGTGGGACAGTTTGACATCATAGCATGGAGTATCATCTGTGTCAGAGTTGAGTGAAAGTATACGAGACAGAAGATTGTGGACAGACATGACTACCATCACTACACGTCATGGACTACGGAAGATCATCTGTGTCAGAGTTGACTGAAAGTGCACGAGACAGAAGATTGTGGACAGACATGACTACCATCACTACACGTCATGGACAACGGAAGATCATATGTGTCAGAGTTGAGTGGAAGTACACGAGACAGAAGATTGTGGATAGACATGACTAACAACACCACACGACATGGACTACGGAAGATCATCTGTGTCAGAGTTGAGTGAAAGTACACGAGACAGAAGATTGTGGATAGACATGACTACCAACACCACACGACATGGACTACGGAAGATCATCTGTGTCAGAGTTGACTGAAAGCTCAAACTTGAGAAAATATCCAAAGGACGCTAACTACCGGGGACCTCTGAAGCGATCACCACATTCAAGATCGCCTCAAGCAGTCTGCACTGTATAGACACTTTATCTTGTTACCATGGCGACACCCGTCCCGCCCAAACATTCGCCATTGCAAAACAGGGACAGCTACTCTGACACATCTCAAGTCGTAATCGTATTAGCCTCCCTTTGTAGCAACAACGGCTAATAACAGATCTTCTCTGCTTTGGGGCCGTTTCCTTTGGCAGCAGATGAAGCGGGTGATGGACGCGGCCAACTATGCTGACACAGGCAAAGAACTCCCTGACAAGGATGTCTAATGATGTCGGAGGCAGGCGCGGCGTCACCAAGAAATTTAGACCCAAGGGGTGGCGAGGGAGGGGACCACTAAGTCTTATGGTAATAATCTAGCTGGCGGGGCCTAATAGGCGAAAGGTTTGTTTATATGCACAATAGTAATACTAATAATGAGGCTCCCTCTTCTAGAAAAGAAAAATGACTGTACTCACTACAAGCAATCTCCCCGTGTGGGTTCCGGGGCCCCATCGTGGGGAAAACAAGAATAGACCCTCTGCCTACTCAAAAGCGTGTCGTAAGAGTCGACTAATTGGGGAGCTTCCTTTGAAGTCGAAGTGCATCTGCCTGAGAGGCAAGGAACCAACAGTCTGCATACAATTGAATCAAATCTGTAAAACTGATGCACACGCAACACTCAGGTTCTGGAGCAGAACTGCAGTTCAGAAGTGGACGAGAAACCAGAACTTTCCACCAGAGTGTACAGCTGGTGAACGCGAAGAAGAAGAAGAAGAAGAAGAAGAAGAAGAAGAAGAAGAAGAAGAAGAAGAAGAAGAAGAAGAAGAAGAAGAAGAAGAAGAAGAAGAAGAAGAAGAAGAAGAAGAAGAAGAAGAAGAAGAAGAAGAAGAAGAAGAAGAAGAAGAAGAAGAAGAAGAAGAAGAAGAAGAAGAAGAAGAAGAAGAAGAAGAAGAGAAGACTACAAGCAATCCTTTAAAAAAAGTGCGGTACTGTCAGAAAAGTGTCTGATAAGTAATACTGGAAAAGGCCTAGGAAAACGGTGCCGGTACTGCGTGTCGTTGCTTACCGCCAGAAAAGAGTTCTGCTTATAATAAGCATCAGTGGCTGGGGCACTGTGAACGCGCTTGGTAATGCCGGTATGCCGGCTGCGATCTCAGCTGCAAGCCCTGCGCCTTGCGTTGATTTTGACAGTGGTATCGACAAACCGAACATCCAGAAAGCAATGGCAAACTACTGGAAGTATATATGCCTAGAAAAACCAAAACAAACAAAAAATGGTGAGATTAGTTCTGCAATGTCCCGTAAAGGATACGCAATTAACTTTTTTTTTTTATTTATAAAATTTATTGTTATAGTTATTTAGTAGCAGCAGCAGGAGCAGGAGGAAGGGAATGAGCAGTAGTATATGCTGAGTGTATGCATGAAGGTGGGAGCCGATAGGAGACTCGCTTAACAACCAAGCAACGACTTGCTGCAGCCCGCGGCCGGTATTTCGAAGAGAGTCTCTCGTGTGACCTCGGCTCAAGCTATGGGTAGGGGGTTTGGGTTAGGGCCAGTTCTACAGGTTCTGGCGTCGTTTAAAGCTGTGTCGTCCGCCCTGTTGTAACTGGAGGAAAGACAACGTGATACCCCTCCGACGTAGAAGAGTCTGAGAAAGTATGAATTATAGGACCATTTTAAAACAAATCTTTTCCCCATGTGGTCACCCCATTCAGTGACAACACCCGGTTCGGTCCGCGCCCACGCCCCCAACGCTCCCTGCTACGCCCCTGGACGAGGAGCCTCCAGCTGTGTTATGCCAAGATTCCGACGCCTCTGGAACAGGATGATGGACGCGGTCCCAAATACGCTGTCGCGGACAAAGATTTCTCTGACAAAGGTGTCTAATGGCGTCGCGGGTGGTCGAACATGGCTTTTGTTTTTGTCTTTTGTCCGAGGCCACGTAGCCGGAATGGGGTGTCCGAGGCCACGTAGCCGGAATGGTGTTTGCGAGGCCACGTAGCCGGAATGGGGTGTGCGGTGTTTGGGTGTGGGGGGGGGGGGGGGGAGAAAGCTCGAGTGGGTCTATGGAAAAAGTTTGGTTCTGTGTAGTCATTACGAATACCTTTTACTTGCTTTGGATGTGCTTTTGTGAGTGTGTGTAATTGTGTGTATGTGTGTGTGTGTGTGTGTAATTGTGTGTGTGTGTGTGGAGGGTGGGTTGCTGTGGGTGTGCATGTGTCTTTGAAACGCTCTATTGATTATTCGGTTAGGAAGACTTAGATTACTACAGTTCCTGCCTGCTCCATTAACTCTGAGAATGATCATACTTGTGCGAACTACTGGATGTGAGGTATAAATTACTAAGATTTTTTTTTTTTTTTTTAAGCAGACGAAGATATAAATGCACTAACAGCTGCAGCAATAAAGAAAGGGGTAGCTTAGACGTATCAGCAGAAGCAGCGGCAGAAGATGAAGGAGGAGTAGGAGGAGGAGAAGGCAGGAGTAGAGGAGCAGAAAGAGTTGGAGACTTCAAGCAGACGGACAACATGCAGAAGAAAAACCCGAACAAGAGCCTGCAGAAAAACAACTAAAATAACAACAACCAAAACAGGAACATCCAGCAGAACAACTATATCAACAACAATTAAAACAACAACATTCAGAAAAACAAACAGAACAATAACATGCAGAACAACCAAAACAACACCGTCCAGAAGAACAAACAGAACAACAATAAGAAGAACCCATAGCAAACACCATAAAAGAAACCGGAATATAATCTAGAAAAGAAAAAAAAACAGAATTAGGAACAGAATTGAGAACAGAATTGAGAACAGAATTGAGAACAGAATTGAGAACAGAATTGAGAACAGAATTGAGAACAGAATTGAGAACAGAATTGAGAACATAATTAAGAACAGAATTGAGAACTGAATTGAGAACAGAATTGAGAACAGAATTAGAAACAGAATTGAGAACAGAATTGAGAACAGAATTGAGAACAGAATTGAGAACAGAATTGAGAACAGAATTAGGAACAGAATGAGAACAGAATTGAGAACAGAATTGAGAACAGAATTGAGAACAGAATTGAGAACAGAATTGAGAACAGAATTGAGAACAGAATTAAGAACAGAATTAGGAACAGAATTAGGAACAGAATTGAGAACAGAATTGAGAACAGAATTGAGAACAGAATTGAGAACAAAATTGAGAACAGAATTAGGAACAGAATTGAGAACAGAATTGAGAACAGAATTGAGAACAGAATTGAGAACAGAATTGAGAACAGAATTGAGAACAGAATTAGGAACAGAATTGAGAACAGTATTGAGAACAGAATTGAGAACAGAATTGAGAACAGATTTGAGAACAGAATTAAGAACAGAATTGAGAACAGAATTGAGAACAGAATTAGGAACAGAATTGAGAACAGAATTGAGAACAGAATTGAGAACATAATTGAGAACAGAATTGAGAACAGAATTAGGAACAGAATTGAGAACAGAACTGAGAACAGAATTGAGAACAGAATTGAGAACAGAATTGAGAACAGAATTAGGAACAGAATTGAGAACAGAATTGAGAACAGAATTGAGAACAGAATTAAGAACAGAATTAAGAACAGAATTAAGAACAGAATTAAGAACAGAATTGAGAACAGAATTGAGAACAGAATTAGGAACATAATTGAGAACATAATTGAGAACAGAATTGAGAACAGAATTGAGAACAGAATTGAGAACAGAATTGAGAACAGAATAAGGAACAGAAAAAAAGAAAACGAGTTAGATCTTAAATGCGAAGATAAATAAGCGGAACCAGAAGAACAGGGACAAATAGAGAAACACCAAGAATTGAAGAAAGATGAACAGACGGAAGAAAAAGAGCAAGAACAGAAAAAAGAACACACACAAAAAAAGAGAAGCGAAAACATGACGACAAAAAACAGCACCTCTCTTTAAATGTCTAGTTAGCAATTGTTTTTACTACCGCGGATAAACTGTTCCTTGTACACCACGCACCTACGGACCTACAGCAGAAGACGCCAGACAATAAACTGTGCAATCTATTGATTATGTCTCCATTATTCAAACACAACCCCAAAAAAAAAAAACATTAATCATATAATAATAATTGTCGCCATTATAATAACAAATTAAGGACAAAATGCCCGATGAAAACAGCACAAAGTAAACACAAAGTAAATTAAACAATCCACTAGATGTATCGATGCCTTAGGTCTCATTAGTACAATTACATCTCCCCCAGAGGCCATGACCTTGCAGTGGTTGTGGGGGGGGGGGGGGGGAGGGCTTGAGAGCCTCAATGATCTAATGAGCTATGTCGGCGGGAACGTATGTTCCTGGCAGGGTCACCCAAGCCGGACAGGTCATTGGTGAGGGGCCAGACTAAAGATGGCCTCCCGGTCCTCCAGGCTCGGGTGTTGGGCGCAGTGTTGACAGCTCTGTCCTGTAAAAAATCTACAACATTACTGAAATTTCAAGAGGAAATAAGTGCTCTAAACGTCCGGTGGTCTTGGGACAGAGTCCCGCTGTCAGCATGAACAACATGGGTGAAAGCCGAAAGGAAGCTCATGATGGGAAAACAAGTCTGCTGGATGTCAAAACTAAATTAGGAATTGGCTTCTGGAATGTAAGAACCATGATTGAAACGGCCAAAACCGCCCAAGTAATTAAAGAAATGCAGAACTATAAACTGCATATTCTTGGAATTAGTGAAAGCAGGTGGACAGGGTTTGGACAATCCACAACAGGTACAGGAGAAACCATAATATACTCTGGAAGAGATGATAACCTACATTCTGCAGGCGTGGCACTTATTTTAAAGAAAAGTATACACAAACATCTCATCGAGTGGCATCCAATCAATGAAAGAATAATGACAGCACGATTCAATGGGGAACATGCCAAACTAACAGTCATCCAATGCTACGCACCGACTAATGAAGCTGAAGATGAAGATAAAGAAACATTCTATAGGAGACTGCAAGAGGTAGTAGATAAAGTACCAGTCAATGATATTCAATGCATTATGGGAGATCTCAATGCAAAAGTTGGTAACACCAACTTGAATAGAGAACTATCAATGGGAAATCAAGGATGTGGTACAATTAATGACAACGGGGAAAGACTGAGCGACTTTTGCATGGCGAATAGACTTGTTATAGGAGGAACACTATTTCCTCACAAGAACATACACAAGCTTACATGGATATCCCCAAACAGAAGAGATGTAAACCAGATCGACCATTTCATGGTAAACAGAAAATGGCGTGGGTCCCAACTCGATGTGCGTGTCAAAAGGAGAGCAGATGTGGGAAGCGATCATCACCTTGTAGTCGCTCTACTACGACTTAAACTAAAAAAAGTTTACACGCAAGTTAAGACAGACAGCACGTTACAATGTTAACCTTTTAAGAGAAAAAGACCTTGCCACTAAATTTATAGCAGAACTCAAGAATAGATTTCAAACCCAGAAACTCCAACTACAATCAGCATTCAAACAGATGGAACCAGATCAAAGAAACATACAAATCAACTAGCAATAACATATTAGGAACTAGGAAACAACACCACAAAGAATGGATAAGTAGTCAAACCATGGACTATATTGCCAAGCGAAAAAGAATAAAGAGCCTCATAAATCACACTAAATCAGAACGTCAGAAAGACAAACTAATGTTAGAATATAGCGAACTAAATAAAATGACCAAGAAAAGGGCCAGATCTGACAAGAGAAGATTTATGGAAAATCTTGCAGAAACAGCAGAAAATGCTGCTAAAGCACATGATCTACAAACCCTACACAAAATTACCCAGCAAATTTGCGGAAACAGAAACAACTATCACACCATACCCATCAGAGATAACCAAGGCAGACTGCTCACCACAGAACAAAAACAAGACATGCAGTGGACTAAACACTTCTCCGACCTCTTGAACATACATGATCCTGAAAATCCCCCAGATATTCAACCAGCCTCTCAGGACATTGACATTATTACTGAACCACCAAGCAAACAAGAAATCCTTAAAGCTATCCACACTTTAAAGAACAACAAAGCACTAGGCAAAGACGAACTGCCAGCAGAACTTCTCAAAGTAGATCCCAACGCAACTGCTAGCATTCTAGAACCATTGTTCAAGGATATTTGGGAAAAAGAAGTGTTGCCTGATGACTGGACTGAAGGAACAGTAGTAAAAATCCCCCAAAAAGGAGACTTAACAGACTGCAATAATTGGAGGGGAATTACTCTACTCTCAGTACCAAGCAAAATATTTTGTAAAATCATCATAATGCGGCTTGAAAAGGGAGTAGATAAATGCCTACGAGTGGAACAAGCAGGATTCAGAAAGGGCAGAGTAACAACTGAGCACATCTTCTAACATTTTAGAACAATGCAACGAATGGCAGAGAAGTATATATAATAATTTTGTGGACTTTGAGAAAGCTTTTGGCAGCATCCATAGAGACGGTCTGTGGAAAATTTTACGACATTATGGAATTCCAGAAAAAATAGTCAACATTATTGCTCTCTTCTATAAAGACTTTTCCTGCAGTATAAAAATTACAATACATCTTTCCCAGTAAAGACGGGTGTAAGACAAGGATGTGTTATGTCATCTCTCCTCTTCAACCTTGTGACTGATTGGATACTAAAGAACACAGGAGACAGGACATTAAGAGGCATACGATGGACTCCATTCACCATGCTTGAGGACCTTGATTTTGCAGATGATATAGCACTCCTATCACATAAACATGAACATATACAAGAGAAAAGTAACAGACTAAACTGCACAGCAGAAATGATGGGACTGAGAATAAATACAAAGAAAACTAAGATCATGACAAACAGTCCAAACCAACAACCAGTGATCATAAATAACCAATCACTTGAAAATGTAGAACATTTCACATATCGTGGCAGTGTGGTGTCCCTACTGGGAGGGACAGAGGAAGACATACAGTCACGTCTGAACAAAGCTAGAGCTGCTTTTGGATGGATGAAAATCCAACAATTACTGCAGAGGAACGAAACTCCTACTCTACAAGAGCATCATTTTGCCAGTTCTTCTTTAAGGAGCGGAATGCTGGAGAATGACCAAAAAGGATGCACACAAGCTGTCCACCTTCCACCACACATGTCTACGTAGAATTATCAAAATTTTCTGGCCAGATACAATCTCAAACACTAAACTACTTCAAACCACAAACCAAGAAACTTTAGACAATATGATTACCAAGAGAAGATGGATATGGCTTGGCCACGTTATGAGAATGACTTCTGATATACCTGCCAAAACAGCTCTCACATGGACACCAGAGTGAAAGAGAAAACAGGGGCGCCCAAAAACAACATGGAGACGAACGATGGAAAGTGACCTGAGTGCGGCATCTTTGACATGGAAAACTGCACTGAAGATTGCACAGGACTGGAAAGCATGGAAAGTCCTCTCTGAAGCCTTATGTGCCACTAGGCATAACGAGAACTGATGATGATGAAGTACAGTTACATAACAGCCCGATTTTGTGCAGCAGTTACACATCAGCTGAGAGTAATTATGACACTAATAACTTTCGTTCATTGCTTTCTAATTAGTTTTTGTCTTAGCAAGCCATATCATAACACCCACCATAACATAGAAGAGTTCCTGCGACCCGACAAATCATGAATGGCAACTTAAGAAGAAGAAGAAGAAGAAGAAGAAGAAGAAGAAGAAGAAGAAGAAGAAGAAGAAGAAGAAGAAGAAGAAGAAGAAGAAGAAGAAGAAGAAGAAGAAGAAGAAGAAGAAGAAGAAGAAGAAGAAGAAGAAGAAGAAGAAGAAGAAGAAGAAGAAGAAGAAGAAGAAGAAGAAGAAGAAGAAGAAGAAGAAGAAGGAGAAGGAGAAGGAGAAGGAGAAGGAGAAGGAGAAGGAGAAGAAGAAGAAGAAGAAGAAGAAGAAGAAGAAGAAGAAGAAGAAGAAGAAGAAGAAGAAGAAGAAGAAGAAGAAGAAGAAGAAGAAGAAGAAGAAGAAGAAGAAGAAGAAGAAGAAGAAGAAGAAGAAGAAGAAAGTAGCAGCAGGAGCAACAGGAACAGCAGGAGCAGCAGCAGCAGTAGGAGCAACAGGAACAGCAGGAGCAGCAGCAGTAGGAGCAACAGGAACAGCAGGAGCAGCAGCGGCACTAGCAGCAGCAGGAGCAGCAGCAGCAGCAGCAGCAGCAGGAGCAGAAGGAGGGGAAGAGGAGGAGTCTGCAGCAGTGATAAAGAAGTTAAAATAAAGGAAATTGACTTTAAACTCGTTAAAACTGGTTAATTTAATATAGATCGTAAATTTCCTAATTAGATACATAATGTCAATTCTAAAGTCAGTCTGCATTAATCAATTTCCACAAAGTGTTAAAATAAACAGATTCTTTTCGCAGCCTGTTCTGGCTGTTCAGTCCGTTAGTCTCTA